AGAGCGAACCAGATCACAGCAGAGGAAGAAGTGCCGGAGGTGGATAGAACGCAGATTTAGAAAAGCACCCGATCGCGTCGCAAGACAAGCCCTCACCTGGAACCTTCAAGGTCAAATGAAAAGATGAAGGTCAAGCAACACATTACACCGAGTGGTGGAGATAGACATGAGAATAAACGATTGGGAGGAACTAGAAATGAAGGTCCAGGAAAGAGTTGGTTGGAGAACTTATGTTCCATCAATAGTAACAGGCAAAAGCGAGTAAGTAAGGGAATGTCTTCAGAACACTGAGTTAGAATCCAGTAGTCAACATTCCCGGTTTTGAATGGCCATCATCCATTGTATTCAGGAGAGCTGTTTTAATTTCGATATGATTAAAATCCATTCATCATGGCCTCTCACTAGAAAGTCAGGAATCCGTCTCGCAGCTCGTCAGCGCAGAACACTAATATCATTCAAACAAGTTCTCTGTGGAAGTTAGTTAAATTTAAAGGTAGTTACGATGATTATTGCAACAAGCACATCTATTCTAAGAATGTGACTATCCATCGTCTTCAACTTCTAATTTTTTTAAAAAAAATGAGAGGAACTTTTTTAATTAAAGGGTTTCTGTCTGCAGGTATTTTTCATAAACCAGCGGTCTGTTTCCCGACTTACTACTCTTGTTATTTTTCATTCATTTGTTCTTGATCATACTCACCTTGCTTCCTATCTCTATTCATCATCTCATTTACTTATCTCTGTCGGTCATAATTATTTTGGTACCCATTTGAACCAATGTCTAAATGTTCAAATGAATAACAAATATACCTTTCTAAATGCTTTAAAAAGTACTCATCTCGCAGATTTAAAATGTCTTTAAAAAGCAATATATATGATTTAGTAATTAGCATTGAATGATGTATACATTACCGTTGAAAGTAAAGAAAGAATTTTATTGTGACAAGATAGTTCTACATACATCTTTTTTAGTGTGGTAAGTGAATACTACAAGATGAAAAAGCAGCAAAATCGATCTGGATCAAGGATTGGAAATGAGTGAATGTCCTCAGAAAAATTTAGTCGTCACAGAATTAGTTATCCGTACGAAGTATCAATATGATTGCATAGTGACCAGTTATCATTACATTTTTAAAATTAAAACTAATTATTTTACAGCTGATTCAAGCAGAAATTAGATTTGTAAAAGTTTAGTTGGTTTTCTGGAGATATTGCTAATATGAAAGATGTAGCGTACGACATACTGAATACATTTGAATAATCATACAGTACATATTATTCTGGCTTGAAAAATTTTCAATATTCACGAAGGTGTGTGCCAATATTGATGTTAATGGGACTGCCTGGAAAATACCACGAATCTTTCTTTACTCAATGAAAATCGATTGAACACATTATTGGTTCAAATAATTCTAAGTGTTTATGGTTATAGCTAACTATCCGAGTCCACACTGATGCACAAAGACTGCATCTTGTCAAAGATAATTTAAAAACCTTTGTCTATTTGTTCCAAACAAGTGGTGCATAAAATCAGTCTTTATATTCAAACACTACTGGACTGTTAGATCAGCTTTGTAAGCTAAAATAATAATAGGTAGGATCTAAAAATATCCAAGATCAATTTGAAAACAGTGACCTCGAAATAAGTATTTTTCTCTATTTTTCGGAATAAATGAAATAGGTTAATTTTTATATTGATTTATATTTGTCCTCATATTTAGTAATTTCAGATTAAACCAACAGTTTACTGATTATCAGTAGGATGTGTAGTCTGCTCTTTATATCAATTTGCAACGAACAGGCTTGATACTTAATTGGATTAGATAGTTTAAAAAGCAATTATAGATAACAATAAAACTCATCTTCAACTCTTAAAATGTATCTCCCCATTATCGAAGATAAATGACAAACTCTGAACCACAGATAGAAATAGGTACTGAGGCACTAAAAATTCCAACACTATGATTCAAAGCTGTGGGTACAATTTATTACGGAGCACAAAACCAAAGTATCACTCACTAAATCTTCAAAACATTTTCTCTGGAAGATATGAAGCTATATGACAGACGCTTTGTCGCTCTACACTTTAACATATATTACTAAGTTATTTGCCATAATTCTAGTGGATTCGGTTATTACTTATATTCAACCAGTACACATTTCAATTCTGATTTTCTTTTTGGAAACTAATCATTGCTGTAGTTATACAGAAATGGAGAAACTTGTCTGATATGAAACATGGAAGACAGATAATTAAACCCTCTTATTCTTCTACACGATATACTTTGTTTACAGGGCTTTCAAATCGTTTAAACAGTTCTCAGGGATCGTTCAGTCCGCTAAACATACATTCACAGAGTACCACCTTGTTAAAAGAAAATAAACAATGCTGATAAGAACCGACATGCATCAACTGTTTATTGTTATGATCACACTATCAGGGACTTGGATAGTGAAGGACAATTTGATGAAGTGTTTTTACTAGAAAACTAAGATTTAACGAATTACAAACTCAAATGAACAATCACTATAACGATACAAACGCATTGTATCACGATTATTTTCCAGTAGTTTGATCATCTACTCGTTAAAACCAATAAATAAATCTAAGTTTAAAGTAGAAGTAATAAAACAAACATGAGAAACAGGGAAATATGGTTAGGCTGTGGTATACCGGCGAACGACTACGAGATCGTAAAAAATCTAGAGAAATAAAAGATTAATGAAGTACTTATTACATTTAGTCTAGGATATGTATTTTAGGGTCTTTGCACTATAGCTGATGTCATTTGAGAATGAAAACCTGCATCGTAACTCTTAATGCTAATAACCAACTCCGTTTTGGCGACTACGCCGTGACCTTGAAGTGGTTCGACGGCATAGAATTGATAGGAAAGTGAGATATTTGAGGACATGAGAAATAAGAGGCAAGTTAGCTTTGAATGAAGCACTTTTTCAAAATATGGGGAGGCTAGTAACCATAATAAGGCAAATTCGTCTTTCGAATGTGTGTTGTCGAAATTTCATGTAGATGAAGATGTTTTATTGTTAATTAATCTAGACTACTTTTTTTGGATAATCCATCAGTTGTTTACAATGCACTAAATTGGTTGACTAAACAGACAATTTACATACCCATTTTTATTCAGTGGTATATTATAACTTTGATACGAGAAAAGAACCATAAAATCAGTTACTCTGTGTTTTTAAAAATTGATTCCCATGAAAGATTATTGACAATTACAGAAAGACGTATGACTTATACTGCGTATACATCTACTTGTCAAAACAGTATCGATCTGAAGAAAGTTGTACAAGCAACAGTCAAGTCAGATGGTTTTATATCAATAAACGTTTATTTTCAGCAATCCTTGTACAAGTACATTCAAGCTGAAAAATACGTGTGAAACACTTTATAGTGTTTTAAACATATTCTAGATGTCCTAAATAATAGAACATCACAACAGAATAAATAACAGAATCAAAAAATGCCACAAACATAAACAGTCAGTCATAATGAATAAAGCATATTTGCAAGTTTTACCACTGATTTTAAATTTAATCAATTCATGAAATAACTAGCTAATTGCGTAATCAAGCATAAATTTGAAATAGTTTGGTTTGACACTCCATAAGCAGTGGACAAGGATGAGTGAAACGATCGCTAAGCATTTATATTACTCAGATATGTCTAATAAAACTTGTTAGTGTCGTATACAGTTGTGTGGTGTCTCATCAGTATACTGTGTTAATAACATTGTCGGATAGCTTAGGTTCGATAGAGCTAATACAGTTGTTTTTCCCACAATCTCTGATTGAAATACTTGGGATATCAGAAGACAAGAAATAATCTATTCCTGGAGAATAAAAAAATGGTTAACTCCATGTAATTAACCTAAAAATAGAGAAATGACCGAATCATATATACGTAAGCTGGTCCAACAACAGGATAGATTCAGTTAGTCAATCATATACAACAACATTTACTAAGTGTAAGATATTAATTTCGGTGATAATTAATGTACAATAGGTTTTATTTACAAAGAAGTGAATAATTTTCAAATATCATTATTGTCATCAACATAATTGTGATTGAAGAAAATTTGTAACAATATCATAAAAATAACAGAAAAAGGCAACAATAAAAAATTACAGGTAAATGGTTTACTTGTATGAATGTTGAAAGCACGTAAACTAATATAACTTAACAAAGATTTTACACGAAACTATTAACAAGTGAACGATTCAAAACTAACCATGACTTTCTTTAAATAAAATATAAACAAAATGGGATTAGGGATGAAAAATTGAAATATAACCCACTTGTGAAATGTTTTGGTTGAATGGTATGCAGCTAGGATATTCAACAGTATTTGCAAGAATGATACTATTCAATCATGTTATGATGTAAACTATTGTTAGCAGTAGACAAAATATCCAAAACCACACAGAAATGCATATGATATATTGAAGAGTAAAAAAATTAAGTAAATTAGGAAACTAAACAAAGTGTGATAATGTTTTTATTGCCACAAACAAACGAAAATGTTCCAGTAGTCATATGTAATCAGAGGAAATGAAGAATGAAAAACTAAATTTACTGTCAATGAATACTACTAAGAGTAATAATAATAACAGTTGTAGAAAACTAAATGGTCTATGTACATAAATGAAAACACGAATGACTGATGAACAGTACATTTCACGACAAATTGTCCAAATACACTAGGCTAGTTAAAGCCTACAGTTTGAATAGTTTTATTAAATTCTTATATACATTTAAACGGTTTAATAATGTTGTTTATGATAAGCAGCTGAATATAGGACTAGTAATATAGATAGATAGGAATTCAAAATCTTAAAATAGAAACAAAGGTATAATGTCACTAGGAGAGTCAATTTACTGGACAATTATCACGGAAATCGGAATGAAAAGCAAAATTTCCTCGGAAATGATGAAAATGATGTCTGTTTTCCTTGCTTCGATTTGGTGAAAAAATTCAATCAGGGAAATAAATACACGCCTTTGGCAATTGATCTATTCGAAGAACCTAGTGGAAGAAGAAACAAAGTTGAAAATAAATATATACAAGTAGAAAATCGAAAAAAATTACAATGACTGAAAACTAAGTAGTGGTACTGATGAGAATTATGGAAGTTATTGCCGATTACTACAATTAATCAGTAATATTGGAACCGAGAAAGTCAACTATGATAGTGGTATAGGTTAATAAAAAACGTTAATTACTAATTCATAGCAAATAAAGTTTACCTCACACTTTTTTTGACCCAACTAAAGCTTCAATATTATAAATATTGAGATTTAATCACTCAATTATCAGCACATGGTCTATTTGTATCTGTTAAGCGTTAGACAATTGTGTTACTGTCTACACTTTGATATGAAATTTTTTTCAGAAATACAATATTCAGTAAATAATTTACGATTTAAACGAAGAAATTTTTAAAAACATACATATTCCATCAGTGTTGTAGTTTCAGAAGATCGCTGTTTGACCAAAGACAAACGCAAACCAATATTACAATACAACCGAATATTTTCAGCTTCTAGTATTTTCTGTAGGTCTCTTTTGGTTCGTCTGCTTAAATGAATTACTGGCCATAGTGAGCACCCAGCTGTACAACAACAGCACAACAGCCCGCAAACAAACCATCTAACATGACTGGGTAGTGAATTTTCCAAGCGCTCGTTAATTTTACGTATACTTTCTTCAAATTCTTCAGGAGCTAGTTTGCCATGTAATTCGTTAGGGAAGTCTTCCTTGAATTTGTTGTTCATACCAAAGCTAGAAAAATTTTAAGCAGAGAAATAAAGTGATACAGATAATACTAATTTGTATGTTAGTGTTATGAGTAAGCAGTTTAACATGGATTCATTAACTAGGTTGTGAATAACGTTTTGACTTTGTTGTTTACAGCTTGAATAAGTGAATCCCTGTTTGAACCAACCAAAAAGAGTATTCGAAATATTGAATCACAAGTTTACATTACAAACTACATTATTCAGAAACGCATATAATTTAAAACTCCTAATTTACTACAACGCCAATAAATAATATGCAGTGAAACGCGAGCTTTAATTCATAAACAAAAATATTGACAATGAAAGTGTATGTTGGGTAGCTACACAGTTTAAAGGTTAAGAAAGTGCCATGTATTAAATAGTAATTATTAATTCGGCTCATTAATAACAGCATACACAAAACATTTTGTGGAAAATGGACATGAAGAAATGTTTACATTAAACAAACACAGTGAATCAAATTTTGTGCATGAGTCTGATTAGGTTCTAAAGATGTTTGAGATGCTATATAGCATTTATAAAGTCTAAATAGCTTTGTGGAACAGATCTGTTAAATTCAGGTTTTGTAAAGAAAACCCCGTTGAATTTCACATAAACATCACTGTCATGAGCAAAAGATGAACTTGAAACCATTATAATTATGCTGATTTCAGTATGCAAACTTTTAAAATTCGGTAGTTGGAGATAACTGAAATCACGAACCACTCATTGTAAGACCACCACCATTAAGAACCTTGAAACAATGGAAAGCAGTTTCGTCCTGGTGTGAGACTCATCAGCCGTGCGCTTCCCCGACTCCAGCTACTTGCAGGATTCAAACCCGGGACCTTCGGTCTTGCACGCGAACGCCTAACCTCTGGACCACTGGGTCGGCTTCCGTCGGTATTAATGTCTGACTCTCATAAATCTTGGGATTTTGCGCGACATCACCCACTTGTCTTTGGTAGTTATTGCCTGACCGGTGTCAGGCAAGGTTGCCTGAGATGGTCAAAATCATACGGAATTCTTATGGTGGATTAAACTGCAAATCCGTGCACGGAGGCCAGCTGAAAGAATCGTTCGAGGTGAAGACCGGTGTCAGGCAAGGTTGTTTATTCTCACCCTTTCTCCTTCTCCTGGTTATCGACTGGATTATGAAGACGTCAACATCTGGAAAGAAATATGGTACACAGTAGACAGCCAGGACATAGTTGGACAGATGATCTGGCTCTTTTATCGCACACGCAACAAATGCAAGAGAGGATGACCAGTGTAGCAGCAGCCTCAGAAGCAACAGGTCTCAACATACACAAACGGAAAAGCAAGGTTATCCGATATAGCACAACATACTCCAATTAAATCGCTCTTGATGGAGATGCTCAGGAAGATGTAAAAACCATCACATATCTGGGCAGCGTCATTGACGAGCAAAGTGGATCTGATGCAGATGTGAAGGCTCCGATCACCAAAGTAAGTGCAGAATTTCCACAATGGAAGCTCATTTGAAATTCAAAACAATTATCAACCAACACCAAAGTCACAATTTTCAATACAAATGTCAAGACAGTTCTACTGTATGGGGAGGAAACTTGGAAAACTACCAAAGATATCATCCAGAAGATACAAGTATTTGTTAACAGTTGTCTACTCAAAATAGTTAGGATCCGTTGGCCAGACACTATCAGCAACAACCTAATGTGGGATAGAACAAACCAAATTTCAGTGCAGAAAATTAGGAAGATGCACTGGAAGTGGATAGGATACATATTGTGGAAAGCATCCAAATGCTTCGCAGGACAGGCCCTAACTTGGAATCCTAAAGGCCAGACGAAAACAGGAAGGCCAAGGGACACATTAAACCGAGAAGTGGAGATAGACATGAGAATAAACAATTAAGTGGAACCAGAAAGGAAGGCCCAGGACGGAGGTTAGAGAATACTGGTCGGCGGCCTATGCCTATTGGAGGTAACGGGCGTACATACGTAAGTAACGAAAAATGATAACTTTGTTTATGATGTATTTATAAGATACGGTAATTTTAACTCTTTTCCATGACTTTAATAGCAAACGCACTAATTTTGTCGATTAACTAGCTAAAAGATAGAAACTGCGCAAATATTTTTAGCCTTTTATTAGGACATTGGAAGCTTGATAACAGACGTAGCCACCTTAATTATCTAGATGTACGCCGTCATATAAATGAAATGGAGGACTACATGTTACGATCTCTAACTCAATTGACATTTAACTAGAATAAGTTTGAAAAACAGCTGAGTAGATAATTCGTGTTTAGTTAACTTGCAATATGCGGCTGGTGAGACCTAGTGAGAAGTAATGGGTCAAAAGAGAACTTACCATCAGAACCAGAAAGAAACACTAAAGCACCTGCTTGTTTAGTAAGTTAGGAACAGAAACTGGTCCAAAGAAAGTGTTTACTCAAGTTTTGTTGAAAAATTAAATTTACCGATTTTTGAGTGCCTGATGCTAAAGGTTAAAAGTGTTCAGTGATAGAATTTCACAGAGAGGCAAAAGAATTTCTGTTAGACTTTGGGACACTACGCATTTCAGAGCAGCAGTAATACAGTCAGGGCTGAATAGTTTAATATAAATTTTGCAAGTAGGGCTATCACTGAGAGTCGCAGCATATGGAAGTAACTATCCAAAGACATGGAAAGGTCGATTGATTACCATACTTGTGAAGTGTCTAGAAAGTTTGTTACTTCCAAGAGTGAAAAATACTACTAATATTGCAATAATATCCAATATCTTTCGTCGAGCTATTATAAGTCAGTTGATTTGTTTGCGCTCCATTAATAAGCACTTAAAGGACCACGCAATTAGGCACTTTAATTATGTGGAAAAGCTTGGATAAGACCTAATTGTATAGCTAAGGGAAATCATATTCAGATAAGACTAGTGAAGTTTTATAAACCAAGTGCGAGAAAATTTATTTTCGGAGCCAATCACAACTACCACAAGTACTAGGATTTCCAAAGAGCTGGCTCACATTGTTATATCTCCACAGCCTTTAATCAAAACTGGTTCCCGAGGTCTTTCACATTGTCCGGAAGATATATAATTCAGAATATCTATTTCATCTGTATCGTCCATTCTCACATGACCCGGCTCATTCAGAGTGTTTCGAAATTCAATATTTCAGGCTTTGTTTAGCTTGTGAGCAAAAGACGTGTATCGAATGAAAAATTCTTTGCACTGTAAGTAAATATTACATCTGGCTCAACTTAAATTGTTATAATGGCTTGTAATGATAGCCAGATTGTTCACGACTGTTCGGTTTCTATCTTGAAAAAGATGAGATACTGGATGGCCTGTGTTCCAACATCCAATATCTCAGATATCTTTTTCACGAGCCAGTATAAACCGACTGCTTTCTTTGCGCTCGATTCTTCTTTTGGTACGGTTCCACGCGTTTGGTAGTGTACGGACAAATATTCGGATCTTTCATTTGATTGAAGCTTTCCTCTGGATAAGTTTGCAGGTGGAGCCATAACGAAGGGTCGAGGTGGAGAGTTCTACTAGCCGATAATTCTATAGTACTATTAGATAGTCGCCTAATTGCGTTTGACATATTTTCAAATTTTTGCTTTGTAAACAGAACAAAGGTCATTTTACTTAATTATGATTTAGCGGATTTTTAATTAGCTTTTGCATGATCCAGCTGAATGTACTGAGAAATCATTTTCTGATAGTGAGTTTCAGTAGTTGACTATTCGGTGCAGAAAACAGTATGGCGAGTGAATTTCCTTCGTCCTTGGTCCTGAAACTGGTATTCTATGTCCCATAACTGCATTTGAGATATAGGAGTAAAATGATTCTGTATTATTATTAAACCACCTCAGTCTACTGTAAGACTGAGTAAACAGGTTTGAATGCCTATTCCATGCCTTTTAAGACAAGTTTACGAATTTAAGAATCACATGGGCAGTCATCCTTTTAATTCTGAGAGGTGTACTCTGTTTTTTCGACAGTGTCAACCTTGGAGAAAATATTCGTACCTGGTTATGCGAAAGCTTTTATTATACAGCTCCAAACCTTTCAACCGTAGCCGAGCTCGCGTCTTGGCCTTGGGATCATGACTTACAGCTTAATGTGGATCACTGTAAAAAGGACTAAGGTCACTGACTCTTGTACAATGTGACTATTGATACTCATGTCTGATTCTCTAGTTCGTAAAAATGTACCATTGGGGATCAAGCATCCTTTCGAATTAACAGAAATTTAGTGAGCATCAATTGTTATTTGCCACCAAAATATGAATTTATCAAACTAAAAGGCTCTAGAGCCTAGAAAAAGCGTGGAAGCTCAGTAATAGTGACATGAGTTGAAACAACTGGTACTGAATCAAACACTAGTTTTCAGAAATGATGTTTGGTACTCATTCCAGACTTATGCCAACGGTCTAACAAATAATAAGTAATCGTCTTCAGCAGAAGCCCAGGAATTCCTAATTTTCCTGGCTCCACTTTGATTAAGTTTCAGGCAATCAAAGAACTTTCTGGAAATGACTTGAAAAATACCTATGATTTTTTCGTTATTAAAGCATCATATTCCTTTCTTAACAGTATGATAATTCTTTTGAAATCCATGTTGTTTTGCGTTCGACAAATTATTAGTCTCTACAAGGGTCAAAATCGTCTTATTGATGACTCCACAATTTCTAAATCATGAAGATGGTGGGACATCATATTGTGTTGGAATAACTACCTAATTTCAATGATCTTCATATGTGGTTTGTTAAGCGATCAGTCACAATTTTTGGCCATTCATGGTCAACTGTTTAGACTTTCTAATGAGGATAACTGACAATTTTTTCATGATCTGTCCCAAGCATTCTAGATTTTCCTATTAGTTCTAGCGCAGGGATATACGAGAAGCTTACCCTGAAGTTATGTTACCTTTAATGGAGAACCATGTTTGCGTCTAGATAAACAAGCTACATTTAGTATAAAACGTTTCCTAGAATCTTGCTAATTAGCTTTCCTAGGCTTGCAGTATGTTATATACCAGGTTTCTGTCTGGCTCCAACTTGTCAAATAAAGTATGTTTACATTTTTCGTTTTATTGCTCTCACTGTCTGCTTTTTTTTCCTAGGATATTGAAACTGTTGACTCGAAAAGTTCATTTAGATTCTAGCTATTTATTTTTCATTCATATGCTCGGAAACAAAATCTTGGTTTTCAAAGCTCAGATAAATAAGTCGTTAAAAAGATCTGGAGCACTTGATATAATGCAGATGGCACTCTGAAATACCGCGATACGTCAAAACCGTTGGTAGTGACCATTTTTATGGAGACCCAAAAAAGCAATGTTGCAGGCTTTTGATATGTGTGTATTGGGTCTAGAGTTAACAAAAGATTCGAAACTTAGTATAAATGGTGAGACCGGTTACGACAATTAATAGTTAAATATTTCGAGATTCTCTTGCAATATATACTATGTGAAAAACTTATTTGCTCGTGAATTTACGTATTATGCAAGCTGAAGCAGTTCAAGCGTCTCATCGTTGAATTCCTCCCATAAAAACTAGCCTAATTTGTCACTATGACTGACCTCCTGAACACCCAAGATATTAAACAGGTGGTGACTTTTTATCTCTCTGTCAGATTTCGGGACAAAGAGAGAGAGAGACAAGGTAGATATCAGAAGTTAAAACACTTTCAGTTTAGATGTTAGAGCAGGTAACTTAGTAGTGTATTGATATCTGTGTTCCGATGGCTGTATTACAATGGACCAAAACCTGGAAAGTGCCGGGGAATTTTGTGCGTTACTGACAGATTAGACGTACGAGGCATCGTCAGTCATCCTGGTAGGTGTTCCCAGCTTAAAAGATGTTCACAAACACCCAGTATTCTCTGCACTGTTATGAATAATTTCTCTATATAGGTTAATTTGAAGAAGCTCAATCAATTTTGTGGGGATTATTCTGATGTTTTAACTGCCCTTATAGACGTGCGCGTACGGAAGGTGCATTTTGCGTGAAGGCGCAACGGATGTTCCACTGCAAATAGGGTTCTGAGAAGGGACAAAAGAGACAGCGAAAAATACAGCAACGAGATAGTTGTATATATATAACCAAAGCACAGCTTAACGTTTGATGGTGAATTTGAAAGTGAAGTGGTAAGTCAAGATAAAATTCATATTAAACCCTAACATTTAAGTAAGTTGTGGTATTAAAGCCCGTAAATGATGGAGTACGGCTACGTAGAAAGAAGAGTTATGGAATGTGTTAAGTGGATAGGAGAGAAATTAAAGTAAGAAGCTGGATGTCCGTACATTGAAACCGGAAGCAAAATAAGGAGAGTAAAGTTTGTAAAATACATTTTTCATTGTTAAACTTTTTAAACTTTTTTAACAAATACCAACCTCTAAGTCATACTGCAGGTGCCCGAATAAGCATGTTGCTGGTTGTCTTGGCAGAATAGTGAACTCAGGATATTTTCAGTAACATGAGTCTCGGAAGTAGCAAGCGTACAAGAGCAACCTCAGTATCACTCGTTAGCCGCCTCATAAATCGAA